AAAAAAAACAAAAAAAAAACAAAATTGCTCTGAAGGGTACATTAGGTACTGACATCAGTGCATAGTTTCCCCAGTTGAGTACATCCAATGTGACCATGGCAATATTCAGGAATGAGTTATGTATCATGGTCATCATACTGTAAAAATGTACGTTGTTCTCTGGGCACTGTGGGTGGGTCACACCCTTAATCCTAGTACTCTGGGAGGTCGAGGAGGGTGATTGAGCTCAGGAGTTCAAGATCAGCCTGAGACAAGGTGAGACTTTGTCTCTAATACAAATAGAAAAACTAGCTGTGCATAGTGGTGCATGCCTGTGGTCCTAGCTACATGGGAGGTTGATTCAAGAGGATCACTCAAACCCAGGAGACTGAAGTTGTGGTGAGCTATAATACAACAGTACTCTACCCAGGGCAACAGAATGGGACTGTTTCAAGAAACAGAAGCAACAAGCAAAATGTAAGTCATCCATGTGACTAGATTGTAGCAATTGGGAGAGAAGTCTGTTCTTTGATGGCAGCAGGCAGAGAGAGCCTTGGCCTTTATTGCTCAAGCACACATAGTATCTTATCACCCTGTCATTCTTCAAGTTGCACCAAGTGGAAAATAAACTCCAAGTAGCCACAAAATATATGCAGGTCATTATGAGGGGGAAACTCTCCCCTTTCCTCCAAACTCATATCATTCCTAGACGACACTATTAACTGTATTTATTCTTCTGGATGCTTTGTATGAATTTATAAATACACAAAATTTTGAAACAAAGTATATGATCCTACTTTTTTTTTTTTTTTTTTTTTTTGCAGTTTTTGGCCGGAGCAGCGTTTGAACCTGCCACCTCCAGCATATGGGGCCAGCACCCTACCCCTTTGAGCCACAGGTACCACCCAATTCTACATTGCTTTTTATTTACTGTTTCCAAGGTATACTTCATTGAAATCTATAAATATCAGAGCACAATAGTCTGGCTTACTATTTGTAAAATCTTGACCAAAGAGGGGGATCCGTTCAGTCAGCTAGGGAGGCTGAAGATTTTATTTTACTTCACACTTTGTTGGAAAGGTTATAGTTATATTAGAAGTTTATTGGCCAGGGGTGTAGAAGGATGGCAGACCAGAAGAATCATTCAGCTGAGCTCTCCTAGTATGATTATGGAAAAAGAACCCAACTGTACCTGGGGTGGGGACCTTACCTGGAGTCATAGCTCAGGGAGTACAGCGAGGAGATGGTGAGCTGGATACAGTGTGAGATCTGGAGCAGCGGAAATGTGACTCATTAGGCAAAGGTTTGCTACTGGCTAGGATCAGCCATGCCCCCCAGTTCTCAGGTCTGGGAGCAGAGAAGGCCTTTCCTGAGTTTTTGGTTTGGGGGAGTGGTGCACTTTGAGTGGAAAATTTGGCAGAGTGGGCAGACTCAAACAGAATACAGTAACCAGATTTGAATATCAGTTGGAGTGGATTTGCTATCCGTTTGGTTGCTGGTGAGACAGTCATACTGGGAAGGTTTTGGCAGACTGGGGGTTGCCGTTGTGGAAAGGTTGTGAGAAGGTCTTTGCAAGGGCCTAAAGCACAGTCCTCTTCATTCTGCCTGCTGGGATCAAAACTCTACTCTTCAACAGGCTGAGGGATTCCCAGACCTGACAGGAACTGGCGTCAGGGGGCACTGTGAGACCTCCCTTTAAAGGATTCTGGAGAGCTTTAAGATTCCAACCCAGTGGGATCTGAATGCTGAGGAAACAATCAGGTGATCATTGAGGGCAACAAAGTTAAGAATAAGAACTACAAACATTACTGGCTATGTTATCCATCTCCTAGAAAACCACAGTGCCACCTGGTGTCCTCGTGACCTATTGCAACCTATATATTCCTATTAAAGTTGGTACCTTCTGTGCTCTCTCTCATCTCTCTCTCTCTTTCTACATATATGTATATATACACACACACACAGGTATACATTTTGCCAGTATTTTTTTTAAAGGAGAAAAGGCATACAAATTTATTAAAGTATAGGAGCAGATATCACTGAGTGATTTCCCCAACTCCCCTCCAATGGGGTATAAAAGCTCCTATAACCTTTTCCACAGGGAAAGGAGGAGATAGGTTATGTAGACAATTATTTGAGGGGCAGTACATGATTATTAGGGACAACCAATAGATCCAGGAGATAGAAATTAACTTGCCAAGAGGCAGGCAGGCAGGCACGCATATCTAGTAGAAAAATCCATCCAGGTGTGGTTGCATTCTTCTGTCTTCTTCTCTGCCATAGACCTTGATATGACAGGGAGCGGACTGAAGGTAACTATGAGTTTTTTGGTAAGAAGCATTCTTGTTCAGACCAGGAAATTCCAGAGAAAGTCTCTCCCTACTTGCTTAAGTTTACTTGGCACTGGTGTACTTGGTGACTGCCTTGGTGCCCTCAGAAACGGCGTGCTTGGCCAGCTCTCCCAGAAGCAGCAGGCAGACGGCCGTCTGAATCTCCCTGGAGGTAATAGTCGAGCATTTGTTGTAATGGGCTAAGCGAGAAGTCTCACCTGCGATGCGCTCAAAGATGTCGTTGACGAATGATTTCATGATGCCCATGGCCTTGGAGGAGATGCTGATATATGGGTGGACCTGCTTCAGCACCTTGTACACATACACCGAGTAACTCTCCTTATGGCTGCACTTGCGCTTCTTGCCATCCTTTTTCTGGGCCTTGGTTACAGCCTTCTTAGAGCCCTTCTTCGGAGCAGGAGCAGACTTTGCTGGTTCAGGCATGATGAAGAGGAAAACACAGCAGACTCACAAACAGCAAGAAGATAATGTTTTTGCCAGTATTTTTAAAATTTTATTTCTTTTTTTAACTTTTAAAATTCTTTATTAATAATATTTTTTCTCTTCTATGTTGCTGAGGTTGCTGCAGTTTGGGGGGTATTTCAGCTTTTTTGTTTTGTTTTGCTGTGTTTTTTTTTTTTTGCTCATTAGTTTGGTTGGTTCTTTTCTTAACTTTCATTTTTACTTTCATCAACAGCAAGGGCGCATGTATTTTTGGTCATGATATTTTAGCCTCTCTCTATTTCGCTCCTCTTAGTTTTCTCTTTTAATAGAGACTCTTCTGTCCTCATCTTTCCCATGTAAATTGTTCTTGCAACAGCTAAGATATCACCTCCTTTTGGGGTCTTTCTTTTCTTTCCTTTTTATTACCTTTTCTCTCCTTTATTTGATACAACTATATTTTAAATTTTCTTTATCTATTCTTACTTTGTTATTGGTTTTTTTTTGTTGTTGTTGTTTGTTTGTTTTTGCTGAGTGCTGGAATGATTGAATGTGGTCAGGCAGGGAGGTCATGGCCATAGTCTGGCTCAAGACATCATGGTGTAGACAGCACTTCTACCTTTGACTCTCAGAAGACAGTGTTGGCAAGTCCACACTGTAGAATTTTTCAATTTCTTTTTAATCTTTATTAATTTTTCCTTTCTTGTTTTTTTGTTTTTGCTCTTTTCATTCCCTATTTTTGGCAGAGAAAGAGTTTGGATTTGCGGAAGCTGGTAAGAAGACCCTGATTTCGAGGAACGCACCCAATCCAGTCCTCAAAATTCTTGAATTACAAGTGTGGCTTTAATCCTGTTCCAGTTAACACCATTTCTTTTATCACTCTCCTTCTCTCTTCCTGTCCTCATCCTGTCCTGTTTTTCAATTCTTTTCTTTCATCCCCTTTCCCTTTTTCCTATTTCTTTTCTTTTTCTCTTTCTTTCTTCTTTCTTTCTTTTCATCTTGTTTGTCCATTCTTGCATTTTATCATTCTCTTTCTTTTGACCTAAGCTCTGAGACAAGGTAATCTGAAACAAAGGAGGAAGTAAGAAGGGAAAATATGGACAAGGAGGATATATGAAAAGGAACCAACAGAAAAATGGGGGGAACATGAAAAATCAAAACAGAGGAACTCCTTCAAGGGACCATGAGGCAGTTACTGCAGAAGACTCCATGTATAAGAAATAAATGGATTCAACAGAAAGGGAATTTAAAATGTAGATGATAAAGAGAATAAAAGGAATGGATGAGAGAATGGAAAGACAGAAACAAAAGTCAGATGAGAGATATGTAGGATATAGAAAAGATATGGTAGAGTATAAGGAAATGAAGGAGACACTCAGGGTACGTAAAGACACAGTATAAAGTATCAAAAATACATTAGACTATGGAGAAGAAGGAAACTCAGAGGTAGAGGATAAAGTTTTTGAATTAACTGAAGTAGTTAAAGAGGCAGGAAAGAGAGAGAAAGGAGAACAGTCCACATAGAGAACTATGAGACTCCATGAAGCATTTAAAGATATAGATAATAGGGATCCCTGAAGGAGAAGAAGATTGCTCCAAAGGAATGGAAGCACTACTGGAGATTATCATAAATAAAAACTTCTCAAGTTTTACTAAAGATCCTGATACATTCCTTTCAGATAGATATTGACTCTGGGTCATCTTAACTCAAACATAGTTTCT